GTAGGCTTCGGCGTTGGTCTTTTAACGAGAGCACGACAAGCAGCTGCAAGCACGGATAAGCATAAGATTATTTCTTTGCATTATTTAGTTTGAAGGTTGATGAAATTAAACAAAATATTTTATTTATTGGCTGATTATCTAAATATTAATCTTTTGGTTTTTTTCAACTTAGTTTGGGTTTTCTTAACATTTTTAAATTAATTTCTTTTTTTACTTCAATAGAGATTTGAAACAATCTCAAACCGAAGACATAATGAAATTAATATTTATTTATAATTAAAATATATATTAATAATTAATAGGTCATCTTTTATTTGAACTCTCATATAAGGAGTGATTTAATATAAATTATATGTTTTATACATTTATTCTTGTGCTGATAGGAATTCCTAACGATAATTTAGAGATACATTTAATATAAATTATCGTTAAAATACTTACTTTCTATATCCTATAACCATTTCAAGATCACAACAATACATAATTGATTAAATCTATATAGTTTATTAGATTATTGTTATAATTTCAATAAATAACTCATTATATTATAATGGTTTATTATTATATATGGTTTATTATTATATGTGGTTTATTATTATATATGGTTTATTATTATAAATGGTTTATTATTATATATGGTTTATTAATATATATGGTTTATTATTATATATAGTTTATTAATATATATGGTTTATTATTATATATAGTTTGTTATTATATATGGTTTATTATTATATATGGTTTAATATTATATATCGTTTATTATTATATATGGTTTATTATTATAAATGGTTTAATAATTTATATAGTTTATTATTATATATGGTTTAATATTATATATGGTTTATTATTATATATCGTTTATTATTATATATCGTTTATTACTATATATCGTTTATTATTATATATGGTTTATTATATTAGTTAAATTGGTTGTTTTAAAATAATATCAACTACAGGTTTTCCGTATGAATTTATCTTGAAGGTTTTGTTATAGAGATGTTATTTAATTTTATCTTAACATTTTTAATATATTCAATATTCCAAATTCAAATTTGCTTCAAGTTTGGGTCAATCTTCCATTATATTATAGAATAGATTATTATTAAAGAGTATAGCAGACGAAAGAAAGGAAAGAAACATACTCAGCGAGTATTTTGAGTTACTGCCTAAATCTTTATGATACATTCAAAACCGTTCTTACCCAAAACCTTCTCCCACAATTATAATGGGAGTGCCTCGTCGTTTAGAACCATGTAGACTTCTATCTCTACATTAAGAACATTAAGAGATTGAAATGCATCGCTTGCATTTCAGCTCCCGATTTTTTTAACGACAATTGTTCGTATTAATAACGACAATCTTAGAAGATTTACTATATATCAATTATTATTTATCGATATATGTATATATAAGAGACTGCGGGTGTTGGCTCATATATGTAATAGTGACATAGTAATAATAACGGTATGTATATAATTTAATTATAAGTAAAATTATCTGTCAACTAAAGGGGTTGCGATTCATACAATAGGCAAAGTAATTTCCATTAATTTTAAAATATGAGTGTTTGCATGAATCGTTGATATGATTTCATATCGACATGTATACTAGGTAGTTATAGAAAGCTGAGCTAGCTGAAACTATGGTGGCTGACGCTGAGCTAGCTGAAGCTGATCTAGTTGAAACTGAGCTAGCTGAAGCTGAGCTAGCTTAATCTGAGCTAGCTGAAGCTGAGCTAGTTGACGCTGAGCTAGGTGAAGTTGAGCTAGGTTAAGCTGAGGTAGCTGAAGCTGAGCTAGCTGAGACTGAGGTACCTACACTGAGGTAGCTGAAGCTGAGCTAGCTGAAGCCTGAACTTTAGTCTTCAAGTTACGTATCTCTCATCTCTTTTAGTTATGGATCTGTTTAGCTTCAACATTAATACAGACCAACCAGGCTACTCAAGTATTGTATATGTCAATAATGATTACATCAGAAAAATGGAAAGCGAAGACATCGCTTTTTAAAATGACGATGGTTGTGAGAGAATAGAAAGTATTGAAAATTTGTTCTACGTTCTAGAAGAGAAAAATAAAATTAAATTTAAGATTCATAATAAAGTAAATATCACCACTTCTAGCTGAAGTATAGTAAAACAGCTCACCAAACTAGTTCACATAATCTGTCTAACTACAACTGTCATATGTTGATCTTTTTTGTAATTGCTTTTCATATGACAAGGTTTCTCAAACTAATTATTATTTAATTTTATTTAAACAAAAAAGAATTAAATGACTATAATTAAGAGTTATATTTGTAAAAAGAAATAGTTAAATCCACTGTTCTCACAACTCGATCTTCAAAAATTATTACCATTATTTCCACACTAGTTGCTTTAAATTCTCGTATCATATGTATACAAATTTTGGACCTTTCTCGAGTTCTAAGCGTGGTACTTGCAGTCCAAATAAATTATATATGGGCTATAAACTATTTAAAAAATTCGAAAATTTTCTAAGACCATTGATGTTGACTACTCGAAACAGGGTTGTATGGTCAGACAAATTTCAATAAATTAACTAAAATTTATGTCTTTTTACTTCTATATGAACCCTTCTAACTTTTAAATAGAGTCTTTTCGTCATAAGACGCGTCACTTTCGGCCAAAAAAATTGACATTAATAAATTATTCTATGTTATAGTTCTGTAACCAACTGCTGCAGTTAAATCGTGCATTGAGCATAAGTTGTCTGTGGTTTTACTAAATTAAAATTGCTAATGAGTTCAGATTGATATTGTGGGTATCTATTGTTTATTTATTGGACATACTGTCAAATGATTTATAATAATTCAAGTGATATATGGAAATAAGGTGATTCACAATTTATTTTAGAAAATTATTTTTCAAGAATTCGGTATTTTTCCCATTTCATTTTAACTTGTTTTATTTCCAATAAATTTTCAAATGCTTATTTGCTTGTAGTTTACATTTTGTGCAACTTGAGATTAATTTAATAAATCTGTGACCTTTAAGTTATTTGAGGTTTTCTTCATTTTCAATAATTTATCTCTGAAATGTAGCGAAACTCTGAATTTCCAGTTATTTAATTTATAATAAAATATATTTAATTCTTGACCTATCCAATCCAAATGTAGTTACAATATCTCTCTCTCTCTCTCTTATTCTTACCTCCCAGTGGAGCATAGGGCCTCTACCATCTTTTTATATCGTATTCAGTTATTTAATTCACGGCATATGTCACTCCAGGAATAGCTCGCTTCTCTTAGTTCTTCATCAATTATTCTTTTCCAAGTTTTAGCCGGCGCTCCAGGTCGACGACTGCCTTTAGGATAGCATCTCAGAGCTTGATGTGCAATGTTTCTCTTTGGTCTGCGTAAATTGAGGCCTTTCCATTGCCATTTACGTCTTCTTATCTCCATAGTAGCAAATGATTGATTTGTAACGGCCCATAGGTTGGAGTTTGTGATGCGGTTGGGCCACCATATTTTTAATATTATTATTGTTAGGGGATGTAGCACTGCGACCGTCGGGTCTATAGTGCCCTATTTTTAATATTTGTCGTAAACAATTGTTTACGAAAGTTTGTATTCTTGTATTTTTCTTGTTCTTTTCCAGGTCTCACAGGCATAGAATAGCACAGACTTTACACTGGAGTTGTAAATAGGAATTATTGTGCGGGTGGAGATTTGGTTAGAGCGCCACAATATACGATGTAAAAAATATTGCACTTTTAAGTATAAATAGAATATTAGAATATTAAGAATTAATAGAATAGAATAGAATATTAAGAATTCAAAGAAATTTAAAAATAAGTTCGAAAATAGAGAATTTATATGTAATTACCTTTATCTGATCTCCTCATATTAGGAATATAAAATGTCGTCATTTTCGGTACCTAATTTCTAATCAAAGTATAATACTAAATCCTTTTATTTAACGACATGATTATTCAATTTTCGTTTTTTTGGATCTGTCTAAAGCTACTGACTTTTCGGTTATTACAACTCCAATTTATTTTAAGTAATTATATATATTATATGTATATTTAAATTTAATAGAAACACATTTAATTTGTGCGGTATCCAAAACTTTTTTATTTGTTTTAAATATGCACTGCGTATTTTCATATACACGTAATTTAGTTTATGCCTTTTAGTATACAATGCAATTAATAGTTTTGCTTATAATAAAATATAAAATAACTGTTGACGTTTTTATTGTGTTGTTTAGATTGGAAAACACGCTAAAGCAATTACTTAACTTTTTGATATTAATTAAAAAAAAAAAAAACGCCTAACCACAATGACTTATTTGTTACCATATGAATAAACAGGTTGGAAAGCTTCACCATCATCACCTTCGCCGTCATCGGAACCATCACTATCGAAGGTATTATCAGGTATATCATATAAACGAATCATTGGCTTATTTGGATCCTTCATAATTAAATATTTGCCATTCTTCTGCTTCATAACAATGTCAATAATGCAACGCAGTATACCCCAAGCATTATCCATACTTAAATTAATTTGTGTAGCAAACTCGTGTGGCTTAAACTGTTGGGTACCAAGTATGACATGACGTGAAGGATCACGTGGATTAATACGGGAAACATAGCCCAATTTCAATTGATCCGAACCAGATAGAACAGCCTGTACAGTCCATTTAGCTAATTTGCAAGCATTATTTCTCAATTCATTGGCTAAAACAGCACCACGTTGAGTGTCCAATTTTTGACGCCATTCAACCCCATTAGCCAATTTAGAATCCCATTCATTAAGTGTTTTAATAGATAAAAATTGAGGTTCACCGTTTGGAGATATAAGCACACCATCGTGTTCACAACGAGCAACGAGTACCTAAAATGACACATAACAATTAATTTCAATGAAACTAAGAGTAAACAAAGATATTATATTAATTTGTCACGAGTTAATATTTAATTATTTTCAGTGAATATTCGCAATAATGATTTTTCTTCGCTTATTGTAAAGAATATAATTACAATGAAATTTTTTTAAATACAATAAAGCTGATTACTCATGAACTATTGTGTATGACGTACTAGATCAGTGTTTATGGGAATGTGAATTTTATCACGTGCATAAAAATACTTACGATATCACTGCCCAAATCCCATTTCTTGTAACGATAACCAACGCTAGCTACTTCAACGTCTTCATCTTCAGAAATGAAAGGATTTGCTTCCTTAAATCTATATTTTGGCTCCTTTTCACCGGTTTTTAAAACTTGTTGACTGAAGTTATGATTAATGAAGGTTGCTTCAATGGCTAAATTACGTGGAGAATTTGGCGAGTTATCATCATCAGTTGGTGGTTCGACAGAAGTTTCATTTACTGTAAGCAAATCGAATTCCGTGTTGTCACGTTTATCCATAAAGATCTTGTCATCTGTAAATTAATAAAATATTAAAATTTTTTATTTGTATAAATATATACACTTTATAAGTATATACATATATATGTATTCCATCAGTATATAAATATATATATTAAATAGATTTATAAATATATATATTAAATAGATATTTATAGATAGATGCATTTAAAATAAGAAGCTAAACGTTTCTATTTCGTTTACATAAAGCCTTTAATATTTATTAAAATACTAAATGTATCTAAATTTGAAAATGATAAAAATACTTTTAATTAAAGTAACACAATCTTAAAAGACTGGTCGTCTAATAGTTTTCTAAAAGTGAGTTCAAATAATATTTATAAAATATATACTCCTACCTATTTAAATTAAATAAAGGAATTTAAAGTATAACGCAATATAGACTGCATTCATAAAAAAAAGATTATATTTTCTAAAACTATATTTTATTATCACTTACTGAACTTCTCAATGACTATATCCCATGAATAATTGGAACGTGTCGAGCACATAATGGTCGCCAAAATAGCATCTGTAGCAAAAACATTGCCCACAGTCTTCGATAAGCGACGTATAACAGGATCATCAGTAGTGGTAACAGTATGCACGATACGATCGATTTTTTGCAATGGTTTTTCATTCTTCACATTAATACGATCATAAGTTTTATCATAGTATTCAAGTGTACCACAAGTAACAATATCTTCACCATCTTTAATATTCGGTAAAGACAATTTCATTAAACGTGGAAAGTCCATTTCCTCAACCGATGTCCAATCCGCACGCACTGCCACAGATGATTCACGTATTTTAGGTGGTACACCACGTGAACCAAATTTCTTACCCATACCACGACGAGTATCGCGTGCTTTAAGATTTTTGCCTCCTAAAGTTGTCATTGTAGAGCTAAGACCACCACGGGTGTTGCGACCACGTGCATTCCTAAATCACATTGTATTCTGTGTTAATACACATATTAATAGAGATGATGTATAGACTTACCTAGAATTACGCAAATTGGTGCGGAACCTGCCACGTTGATGTGGTGGTTTCTGTACGCGTGTAGTGTCTACCAAATGGAATGTTGTTTCATCTTCTTCATGGTAGTAAGCATATTGGCTACCAGTGCCAAATGTGGAAGCATACTTATCTAAAATATTTAAAAAACATATGTATTTTATAAAATACCAGTTTTTCAATTTTTTAATTTAGTTTTTTACTGAAATTTTGCTAAATATGCTTGAACAAAAATGTAAACAAACGCTTTTGACATTTTATTTCGCACTTTTGTTGACAACCAATCCGCGAATCATAAAACTATTAAATAATTTCCCAAAGGTATTTTTTTTTTGATTGCCACGATTATTTATAGTTGTCAATTGCAACATAACCTTACTATTTTTACAAATGCAATTGCTTAATATAAACATATTTAGTTATTTTATTTAATTTTTCATATTTTTTACTTACTTTGATACTTCTTGTCATTGTTGGAACTACTGGTCCAATCACATATTTTGCCCAAGCGATCGCTTTTGCTGAAGGGCTGGTACGGCATATCTTTGAAAGTGTCCGGCAGTTCGCATGGGCCCCAGCCATGCTCATTAAATTGCACAGTTGGCTTTTCAAAGTGCGGAAAAGTACTACTTTCAGTCATGGCTAACGAAACGAACGAATTGATGAATATTAATGCACAAGTTTTTTACTTTTTATATTAAAATAATTAATAATTTTTTCCGTTCTCAACTGACGTGACGATTTGGAAAACGAATGCAAGTAAAAGGAATGCCAGAAGGTAAATTACTAGAGTTGTCAAGGTACGGTTTTGTAATGGAAATTTTTTTATGCACTCATAAGTGTTGGTAAGTGCGTTATAAATATATTAGGATTATTATATATAATTAATATTTTTATAATACAAAAAAATATTTGTTGAAGTTATATATATATATATATACCAAATATATAAATAAACAGAGCTGAAAGTCGAAATAAACAAAATTACATGTAGAAAGGCGACAACAGCTGACTTGACTGTTCGAATTCAAAATTCAGCAAAAACTTAAACATTTTAGCTATTTAGCACAAATTTAGCATATCAAAATAATAATGCTATTATATTTCTGTAACTTAATTATCGAACGTGTCTCAGCGGTTTTTGTGAAAAAATAATTTGAGTATTTACAGTTAAACCTCAATAAAAAATAAAAATAAAAAAGTACCAATGGTTGAATTCGTACCCTGCCGTACCTTAAAGCGCAGAGTCAGCGTTGATTAGCCAACTAACCCAAAGCCATTGACTCGTATGTTCGAATTTAAAATTTTTTTAATTTCCTGTGCAAGTTCATTAACATATGCACTTGTTATGTTATATTAGAACGAAATCATAAACTTATATTTTTTATTTGTGAAATTTCTATGCCATTCTTTTAAGTGATACTATAGTATAGTAGTATATAGGCGGTGTGCGAGTTCGAGTAAATTGATGGTTAATTGAGGAAAATAGTAAATTATGTCGGTATGGCAGCGAATGTTGGTATTTACCTGAATTTCGTGTAGGGTAATTAGATAAAAATTAGGTAAATTAGGTGTTGCCATTGTGGAAATTTTATAAGATGTTTAATAACTAAATAAATAAATTTGCAAAATTTTAACCAAAGTAATAATTAAGTGCAATAAGTAAATAAATAAATATTTACATATTTACTCGAACTCGCACACGGTCATAGTAAAAGTAATTTAAATGAGTTTATTATTAAAAACTGTTATTAATTTATAATGCAATTGTAAATCGAAAAATAATGGTTTTGTACAAAATGATACTTATGATTTAATATATACGGTACATCTAAATAAATGTACATTTAATGATTAATGAAGCAGTTCGTGAATATAAAACCACTGTGAATCCGTTTTCTATTTCCAGCGTTTTCAAAATTAAATCATCAATTATGTTAGCGTCAAAAGGTGGTTGCAAATGATCTTGCACAGCTTAATGCCAGGGTAGAAACGGTTATCAACAATAAAATCAAAATGGCGATCAGCATTGCTGGAACGTATCGAGTTCTGTACAATTTATTGAATAACAGAAATTATGAAAATTTAGATTGGGTAAATGTCCTGAAAAAAGCAGCAGATTTTTAAGCAATAGGTATTCAAAAACTATTGGCACGGAATGCCAACTACCCAAATAATTTTCTAGGAGATTTTATTTTATTTTATAAACTACAATTTTTTAATATTTAAATAATAATATTAAAATATTGGTATTAATTATGATGTTAAAATATTAATGTTAAGAGTGACATATAATAGTAAAATATTTACAATAATTTTCGTTTCTCCACTCAAATACAATACAATATTAATTATATTAATGATTTCCGGTAATCCTTATATTAGCTTCCACTCTTTCGATTGCTTCTGCTATCCGTTGCAAAGAATCGGCATTTCTTCTCATTATTTTCAGAAATGCTGAGTCTGTTTCCTGCTGTAACTCCATTTGCACCTTTTCCATATTATTCACCTTTCGTATTTCGTCTAATATGTTATCATTACAATTTAACTTCCTTTTTTTTCTAGGCAAGTGATCAGAATTGTCTGAATCTGAAATTGGATCCATTGGTGTGGGCGAAGGTAACGATGGCGTTGTTTTTTCTGTTTGCGACATTAATGTGGTGGCATTTGATGATGTGCCCTGTTCTAAATGAACAACAAAAAAATGAATTTGATAAATTTAATTAAATGTTAAATAAATTACCTGCAATACTATCGCACATTAATGTGGTGGCGTTCAAATTTGGATTAGTCAAAATTTGTTTCACAGTATGATAATACTTCCATGCAGGTTTTTGTTCTGAAGCCCCATCGCTTTGTTGTTCCTTTCTGTTTTAAAATAATCAGAAAATCCAATTTGAATAAAAATTGTTAATAATAATTTAGTGAAATTGGAAGATAACACATTATTATATTTGTGGCGCAGGAATATTTATTGGTAGAAATGTTATTGGTGTCCGTACCAATCTGTGTTTTCAAATGAAATTAAGCACCTTATAGTGATTTAGTCAAAGTGTAGGGAAACGCAAGATATTTTCATTTATAAAATACTTACTTGAATCGTTGTGTGAAGTTGTGCACTTTTGTCTGCACTTCTAGACCGGTTACCTTGAAACCTCTTTTATTCAGTTCCTTGGCCATTTCTTTAAAAACATGTCCATTTCGCCTAACTCCCCGCAACTGTGGAAGTTTTTCTTCCCACAGCTCTAGGAAATGCATTTCGCTATACTCAGTCCAAGCATTACGTTTTGTTTTTATTTTCTTTAAGTAATAATTGATTTCATTAAAATACAAATCAATTATGAATTTACATACCATCGAGTTTACATTCATTTGCTGCCCTCCGTTGGTGTTTAGGAGATTGTTCAAACTTTTCATGTTATCCAACTAAAAAAATACTTCTTATTTAAAAATTTATTATATATAAAATATTTTTAATATAAAAGCAAAAATTTAATAACGGGCTTATGTCAATGCTTGTTTACAATCATTTGTTTACATTTTATTGTTTATGTCAAATTGTGACAATTTCCCTTTTGGGAAATTTCGTAGAGTTGCATTCAATATTTTTGGTACTGTTTTTGTTGATACCTATGAAGTTTATTTATGAAGGAGCTCTTGAGGTAAATCAATTTTCATAGAAACATACATAGGTCAAGAAATTGTCTTAATGAAATTGGTGTACCATTAATCAATTTTAATAGAAACATAAATCAAGAAAACTATTCGTATAACCATTGTATATGTTATGTTTAGACACACCTTAATTTCGCAGAAATCTTAAATTCTTTTTTGTTTCAGCAAAAATTAAATTGGTTTTTCCATACAAAATTTAGTTTAAAAATTAGAAAGACATTAAAGAAAATGGCCTTAATTAATGGCCCGAAAAGTTTAAATGAAAATAAACAACATGTCGAGAGGAATTGCTTTACGCCAATTTGTGTCCATATTTTGTATAGATTTTAATTATTCACACAGAGCTGAAAAGCTTTCTCGGATTACACGAAAATGTGAATTAAAAACATTCTTGTGACAGCACATGTGCTGATTGCCGTTTTTATAAAAAAATAATTAAGGTCGTGTGCGAGTTAGACTAAGTTGATGCTAAACCAAATGGGAGATTTTTTGGGATTTTTTGCACTGCACACATTTTGTCATTTATCAACACGTATCGACACATCAATACATTATCGACACAACTTAGAATTTCCATCATTTAGAACGCAACTTAGCCTATCTCGCACACGACCTAAATATCGTCATTTTAATGTATGAGGATTTCTTTACAAATCTTCAAAATGGTCTTGGAACAGATGACGATATTCCAAGAAGTGTAGCAGTTCTCCACTAGTGAATAGTTTACAAACTAACTTAATTTTATTTGAACGAAATTAAGATAATTTCGTTGTCTGAACACAGTAATATATAGAAGTTATAACATATGTAGATCAATATAATATATTGAATTAAGTAAAAAAAGTTAGTGAGTAATGTTTTTGAAATTATAAACGTTTGTGCATAAAAGGTAAACTTTTAATAGTTATAAATTAGTTACAATATATTATATATTTTATAAAATTTCATAAACAAAAAGAAACTTTTCAAAAAATACAAACATTTTTAAAATCGAAATCAAAATCAAATGAAGGGCAGAGCTCCAAAAGAATTGACATGTATAGTGTTTTCAACTGCTGAGACTTTGTTGACTGTAATAGCTAACCCGCTAATGTTAGGAAGCAGAAGGGTTATAAATGTTAGTACTGGATTTAATGCGAGTACTGTGGAATGCACTAGAGCTAGGGAAGGCCAGGAGAAACTGATCTTTTTATTATTATAATTATGTAGAGTCAATTTTGAGAAGGGCATCTGAATCCCAAAAACCTATTTAAATTTAGAAACGGAAGTAATACTTGCTTCAGGGATTACCCGGGACGATGCAGTAGAGGATTCAAGTTTTTGAAACGAATAGAGCTCCGTTTAAAAGACATGTCTTTTCGTCAAAGTAAGCCTATTACAATAAAAGTTTTTAGTTTCAATTCAAAATAAAATAATATTTTTCGTAAATATATTACCTATTTAACAATCAATAATGTGAATCTATTTCAGAAAGCAAGAAGTAGTGTCTGCTTACATTCAGATAAGTTTCATAGACATATTATTTGTGGCTGTCTAACTTTGGTCTGGAACGCCGAGCTATGCTAGATGTGGACTTTCTATCTTCATGTGATATTAGGAAATTCTCAACGGTTGATATTTTGAACTACATTCAAAGGTTCGAGTGTGTTCTCTTTAGTTAGGGTCAGAATTAGCATAAATCCTAGATGTGGACTTTCTATCTTCATGTGATATTAGGAAATCCTCAACGATTGATATTTTAAACTTCATTCAAAGGCTCGAGTGTGTTCTCTTTAGCTAGGGTCAGTATTAGCATAAAAGATCCACCACAATTTGTGCTATGCTTTGTTGAAAGCCAATATGCTTTTTATTTTTATACTATTTATGTTATTTAAATAATCCTAAATTTCCGATCAGGAACTTCACTAATGGATACACCTCAATTTTTGAAATTTGAATAATTATTTTTGCTTATAATATTCTGATTTTATTGAATTAATATCTTTAAACTTATTTGACTTTGCCAGTAGTGTACTTCATTATTCTCTTAAGTATTCTTTTAGTCATCAAGCCACTTTACTCGATTCTGTAGAAGACCAAATT